TTATTACAAGAGGGTGAAGTCAACAAACCAAACTGTCCTGTCATTTGGGAGCTTGAGCTTTTGCGATTGTGGATCTGTTATAATAAATTGTTTAAGAATATAGCTGTGGGTTTCATGGTTTGTGAAAATAACTTCTATCCCTATTTTACACTGTTTTAATGTGGATTTCCATCCGTTTTACGGTCCTGATTGATAAAATGAAGCTGATTTCATGTGTCAGCCAATCACGTGCTCATACAGGCGGATGTGGCTTCCAGGAAAATCGCACCAATCACGACGCGGCATTTACTTCACAGAGGCGGGACTTAGCCGAGAAAAGAAAGTTGTCAAACGTCAATCATACGTATTACTCGCTTCTGATTGGTCCACCGGTTTGAATGAGGTGGGTCTTGAACTACAGTCACCGTGTAAATTCCATTGCTAACCAACTTTAGCCAGCCTGCTAACATGTAATTCAGCGACCACATTGGTGGATTTAAAGAACATAAATAATGTTTTATTTAACATAGAGTATTATTAGATAACAATGTCATCTCCTGCATGTGTCTCTGTTATTGCAAACATGTGCAGTTAGGCAAAACTGCAGCAATCTGGAACCTGCAGAGCTAAAAAAACAAAACACAAAACGTTTCTCCTGGGTCTGCGTTGCGGGGATTTGAGGTTTCATCGCCCGGAGAGAGGACACTATTCCCGGGTGTTGGGATTACCATGAGTCCTGGAGGATGTCCGCATGTCAGTAGCTTCAAAGTGGACAACTGGAAGCAGAATCTGAGGGTGATCTATCGGTGCTTCGTGTGGAGCGGGTCAGCTGAGACCAGAAAACGCAAGGTAACAAGAAGAAGGAGACTCTAATGACGTGTGTGTGTGTGTGTGTGTGTGTGTGTGTGTGTGCGCGCGTGTACACCGCCCTTCCAAAACAACACACACATCTGACACTGGAGTCAAATGCAACCCATGTTCTCAGTGTCATCTTGGGTATATTGGGCTAGACAAATCCTAAAATCACTGGTGAAAAGTAACCAAGTACAGACACCCAAGTACTGTACTTTACTACAATTTTGAGAGGCTTGCACTTGAGTATTTCTGCTCCACTACAGTTCAGAGGTACATGGTGTACTATTACTCCACTACATGTATTTAATACCTTTAGTTACTTCACAGATGTGGATGAATGATGTGAAATATAATCAAGTGTTGAATCAGACTTTAGTTCCACCTGGAGTAAATCCACCAGCTACCCTGCAGTATACAAAGTCATTCAAACTAGCTGCTCCTTCACCAGCTTTGAGAACACTTTCATGATCAATCATTATAACACACATCATATATATTATTCTGAAATGGACCAATCTGCACAACGACTACTTTCACTGTCGCTACTTTCACTATATTTTGATGATAATACTTTTCTACTTGAGTAACATTTTGAACGCAGGACTTTTACTGTACAGAGTATTCCTACACTCTGGTACTTCTACTTTTACTCAAGTACAAGATCTGAGTACTTCTACTTTTACTCAAGTATAAGATCTGAGTACTTCTACTTTTACTCAAGTACAAGACCTGAGTACTTCAACTTTTACTCAAGTACAAGATCTGAGTACTTCTACTTTTACTCAAGTACAAGACCTGAGTACTTCTACTATTACTCAAGTACAAGACCTGAGTACTTCTCCTTTTACTAAAGTACAAGATCTGAGTACTTGTCCTTTTACTAAAGTACAAGATCTGAGTACTTCTCCTTTTACTAAAGTACAAGATCTGAGTACTTCTACTTTTACTCAAGTACAAGACCTGAGTACTTCTACTATTACTCAACTACAAGATCTGAGTACTTCTACTTTTACTAAAGTACAAGATCTGAGTACTTCTACTTTTACTCAAGTACAAGATCTGAGTACTTCTACTTTTACTCAAGTACAAGATCTGAGTACTTCTCCTTTTACTAAAGTACAAGATCTGAGTACTTCTCCTTTTACTCAAGTATAAGATCTGAGTACTTCTCCTTTTACTCAAGTATAAGATCTGAGTACTTGTCCTTTTACTCAAGTATAAGATCTGAGTACTTGTCCTTTTACTCAAGTATAAGATCTGAGTACTTGTCCTTTTACTAAAGTATAAGATCTGAGTACTTGTCCTTTTACTCAAGTATAAGATCTGAGTACTTCTCCTTTTACTCAAGTATAAGATCTGAGTACTTCTCCTTTTACTCAAGTATAAGATCTGAGTACTTCTCCTTTTACTCAAGTATAAGATCTGAGTACTTGTCCTTTTACTCAAGTATAAGATCTGAGTACTTCTCCTTTTACTAAAGTATAAGATCTGAGTACTTGTCCTTTTACTCAAGTATAAGATCTGAGTACTTCTCCTTTTACTCAAGTATAAGATCTGAGTACTTCTCCTTTTACTCAAGTATAAGATCTGAGTACTTCTCCTTTTACTAAAGTATAAGATCTGAGTACTTGTCCTTTTACTAAAGTATAAGATCTGAGTACTTCTCCTTTTACTAAAGTATAAGATCTGAGTACTTGTCCTTTTACTAAAGTATAAGATCTGAGTACTTGTCCCAGCTCTGCCTAAATCACCCGACAGAAACGGATGCAAACCACCCTCTTATCTCCCGGTTAGCTGCCTGTTTGCTCACTTCAAAGCTAGAGAGCGATAATGGATCATAAGCTGCTTGTTTGCTCTGGCTCTCAGCCTGCAGGACAGCAAGTATTTAAAATCCACCAAGCATATAACTGCAATCCTGCAAACCCCAATCCACAGTCAATGGCAGTGTATTAGTAATATGTGCTGATGTGTAAAGCCTATTGTAATTTCATTCATAGTGAAAACCTTTGCAGGTATCATTCACACTGGGGACGTTGGGGACATGTCACCACCTCTGTTTGAAATGGCTTTTTATCCCCAGATGTTAAACTGAAGCAAGCAGCAAGACATGTGGATAGGCATATTCGTCCTTTAACCAGAAAATAACTTACACAGCACATGAATTATGAAAAGGCATCAATATGTAACCATCTCTCCTCACTCATCATCCTGTCGGTGTTACAGCACGTGTGTGTTTCTGCTCTCTGAGAACAGTGTATTCATGTAGGAGTGTGTGTCTGTCACTCAAACACATCCTCTGCTGTCTTAGAGCAAAGAGTACACACACACACACACACACACACACAAACACACACACACACACACACAACTGAGTAGTTTATGGATATGCAGTAGTGGAAAGGAGCGATTCCACAGTGTTAAAATACTCAGTACCGCTCTATCTGTCATATTTGTGGGATGGCAGTGACGACGCTCTGCAGGCAGGATGTTATGGGAGAGCAGCAGAGGGTAATGTGTGTGTGTGTGTGTGTGTGTGTGTGTGTGTGTGTGTGTGTGTGTGTGTGTGTGTGTGTGTGTGGTGTGTGTGTGTGTGTGTGTGTGTGGTGTGTGTGTGTGTGTGGCCCGTTGTATGTACCGGACTGTTCCCAACTAAACAAAGGCATTGTGGTTTCTTACTGTAGACATCAACATGTTTTTGGGGTTTTGGTTAAATGCCTGGAATAAGGTGAAATGCAAGCTTAAATATATGTTATGTGTGTTTTTCTAGGCAGGGTTTCCTACGGTCATTTAAAAAACCTGGAAAAGTCATGGAAATGCAAATTCCAGGCCCTGGAAAAGTCATGGAAACAATATCTTTCCAAAGTCATGGAAATGTAACTAAAGTTGCATCAAATATAATTTATATTTATCTAATCGCCGAAATAGTAATACTATAATGATAATAGATACTGTATCGTATAGTAATGAAACGTAAAATGGCATTTAACTGACGAGGTGTTTTGCTGGTGAGAGATTTCAGTGGCTTTATCGTGAAGCTAGTAAGCCTATTTGATTTGTTTTAGATAGGCACAACGTGTTGCAGACCTTATTTTCCTGTTCCTTGTTAAAGTGGACATATCATGCTATATTTGAACAACATATTGTAGGGCCATACCTATTATATAAAGTATATAAATGTAGTTTTTTTTTTTTTAAATACCAAACAGATCCTGCATTTTAGCCATCCCTCATTTCGCAATTTGCTCTTTCCAGCGTTGTTTTTGCATGGGGCTGATTCTGTGAGCTGCAGCTGACCACGCCCCCTGCAGGAGAGGGGAGCGTGCTCTGAGATCAGCTGCTGGGAGAAGAGGGGGGAGAAAAAGAGATCTCCGTCCTCCGTGTTTTATTCTGATAGAAGTAAGAAGAGAAGTAACGGGGCAGAAAACCCTCCTTTTACGCAGCGGTCCAGACATAGACATCAAACGGCGACACATATTCAGTGTGCAGTTACTTTGGCACCATTAGGGCAGGATATCTAGATACTTTCCAAGGTTTGACATCATGAATTGTGCTACTTTTAAAGCAAGCAGCGATGTTTTCAAGTCTGTAATCAAAAAGCTCCTCAAAAACACTATCGAAGCAGTTCCTGCCGTTGCTACGTTAGTTCAAACAGTAACAACGGACTCTCTTTCTTAGCGGATGCATGTCAATTTAAATCAATACATAAAACTATTTGTTGTTGCACATTATCCCTTACATATGTTTATATAGAGTCATTATTCATTTGTTTTAAAGCAGGAGGCGCAAACACTTGCCTCGGGGAGGGAGACAAAGAGCCACAGCGGAGAATAAATAGAAGGGCAACCATGGCAACCATCCGCGGGAAGTCTTCTTCGCTGCTTTTGTGGTAGACTACAGCGCCACTTACAGGCCGGGCATATGTACTACAGCGTCTCCAGCGCTTTCGAGCGGCAATGGCCGGCCGTGGCCCAACCTCTCATTCCCCTGATTGGTGGAGAATTGACCACTAAGCGGAGCACCCCTTTTGTGACGTAGAAAATAATTCAAATCTGGATCAGTCTGTATCACATCCGTTACAGCCCCTTTTTTAGAGATTTGGGTACGGAGGAAAAGAGAGAGGGTTGTGTTTTCTGACACTTGGTGAGTTCCCTGGAACACCGGGGACACATATTCATGTATAAAGACGTACAAGAGTGCATTTTGCATGATAGGTCCCCTTTAAAATAAAAAAATGTCAGTGTCAGTTTTTTGGTCATGGAAAAGTCATTGAAAATCATTGGTGAAAAAGTGTATGAACCCTGTCTAGGACATAAAATACATTAGTTTAGATTTTTTAAAACACTAATTGTGAAGCTTTTACCTGTGTTAAAAGTGCATTTCTAGTATTTTACGCATCTTAACAAAGCGGTAGCTAACACGTGGCTAAATGAGATTACAGGTGTTAAAACCACAACGCACCTGTCGTTCAGATGTGATTACACACCTTTGGATTGTCAAGGTGACTGAATGCTTGAATCTGTGTCTGAAGGTCAGTCTGATGCAGTGTTAGGTCAGAGTGGATGATGGTTTTTCTCCTTCAAAACAATAGTCAAAATGTTCGCAGATGCAATTATTTTTCTTTGAGGAAGTGTGGGAGTTACATAACATTTGTGTTGCTGCTCTGCAGCTCAGCTAAAGTGAACCGAGGGGAATAGTGTGAGCTGCTTTTATTGGAATAACTGGGTAAACCAAAGGCATTCCCACAGAGGCTAATCATGCTAATGGGCCCTGCGTTTGTTTCCATGCAAAAACAGATATAATGAATCCTATGCTGGATGTTAATGTGGTGGAAAACATCAAATCACCCTGTAGACCAAACTCGGAAAATATCTGTAATCAAGATCCTTAAGATATACTAAGAAATGTGGTGCCCTTGGGAGGGATGTGAGCCAGTGTTGTCTGCTCTTCAGGGTCTTCAGCACATCTGTGCCAATATTCATCCCAGTAAACATGCCTTCTTGAAGCTCACACTGATCCCATGACAGATGACACGGTATGTCCCCGAGCAAATTAAAATGCAGGAAGCATGGCGCTAAGCACAGCATGCTAATATGGTGCTCATATGTGCTGTGCATCCATGTGATAGAATGTGCCTCTTTACGTATGACTCGATACAAGATGTGCAAATAAAAACACAGCCTCAAGAGAAAAGCATGAGTTATTAATCCTGTCATCCAGTGACGTGTCTCTGATTCGTGGATTTGAATCCTTTTAAATAGGTCGTATTATTATTATTATTTGTGGGTTTTCCCTTAACTGTATTGTGTTCAATCGAGAGGCGAAGTCACGCCCATCTACTTCCATGGGACCTTATTTGGGAAAAATGATGTATTGAAGTCAATGGAGAGAGAAAACGTATCTTTCGATCCCGTTTGAATTGTGCCATGAATTACACACATGATGTTTGTCAATCTTACAAATTATTTCCATGTCAAAAAAGTCACAGTTTGTGGTAAAACTGTTGAAATATAAGACTATGAAAAATACGCAACTAGA